CCTTCTTTCCATCCTTCCTTTATTTTTTTTTCTTTCTTTCTTTCTTCAATTTTTGATTTTTTTCTTTCTTTCTTTCTTCCTTGTAATTTTTTTTTCTTTCTTTCTTTATAATTCTTTCTTTCTTTTTTCATAAAGAAACTTTCTTCCAATTCCTTCCATTTTCTTTCTTTTCTTTTTCAATGATTCATTTTTAAATAATTTTTAATTTTTTTAAATTATTTCTTTATTTTTTTTAAATTTTCTTTTTCCTTTTTCTTTTTTTCTTTTTTTTTTTTTTTCTTTTTTTGACATCTTTCTTTTTTCTTTTTTCTTCCTTCCTTTTTTTTTCTTCCTTTTTTTCTTATTTCCTTCTTCCTTCCTTTTTTGCTTTTTTTTTTTTTTCTTTTCTTTCTTTCTTTAGAATTTACATTCTTCTTTTCTTTCTTTCTTAATTCCTTCCTTTTTTTTTTTATCATTTTTTTCTTCCTTTCTTCTTTCCTTTCTTTCTTCCTTCTTTTAATTAATTTTTTTTTTTTTTTATTTATTTAGGTACATTTTCTTTCTTTTCTTTCTTTTTTCAACTTTTTTTTTTCTTTCTTCGCCTTTAGTTTTTTATTTTTTTTCTCTTCTAAATAAATAAATGCGAATGTCTGCACCTTTCACTTCGTCCCAAGATTATTTAATCGTAAATCAATCGTCATTAAATCTATATTCATTCTAAAATTTTTTAATCAGTCCGACTTTTATGAACAAATTAAAACATTCCGGACCGGATTAAGACCCATTTTCCATAAATTTTTTACCACCATTATTCTAAGTTTTCAAAAGACGATTGTTTTTTATTTTTTTGAATCATTAATGATTAATTTGGTGACGGCTTTTCATACGATAATGGATTTTTATAACTTTAAAATAAAATTTAAATAATTGAAATTAATTACAAAATGCATTCAAAGTCACCCATGAAATAAAAAATAATTTGTTTGTAAAGGAAAGAAATGATTTTACGTACATAAAATTGTTATCAGTTTAATTAAGTGGCGACAGAAGAACTTTTTTCCCAAAGGTAAGCTTATATAAAAATAAATATTTAAAATTTTCAAATTTTTTCAATTCAATCTTCTATATAGTTTATTGTTGCCTATCGCATATTATTTATTTCAAAAAAAAATCTCCACCAATGAAGGAACAGAGAGTTTCAAATTGAAATTAAATCTGCAAAGTTTAGAAAATCCCGTCAAATGAAAAACCAGATCAAACAAATTTTTTAAATATGGCGACTTTTAAGCTTAGTTCTATATACTTCGCTATTTTTTGTTTCTCTATTTAATTATTTCTTACTTAATCTTTTAATTCATTTTCCTTCTCGTTTTCTATATGTAATGGGATTTGAACTAGGATTTTACCTATTTGCATATGTTGGCTATAAGCGAAATAATCTATAAAGTAAATAATCAGACGAGAGTAAGTTGACTACTGATCCTGTGTCTCGTCTACAAAACTTTACAAATCATGGAATTCAAAATAGGATATTTCAAAATCTTTTTTAAACAGAAGTTATCGAATCTTGAACCTGTGTTTTGCATCCCAGGCTGAAATTTGAAAAACAGTAAGGCAAGAGACGAAGAAAATGAAATAACTGAGACCGTCCTATCTTCGGTATGTTGTGAAGCCATAATGAAAATTTCTGTTATGAAAATTTGGAGAATTTGACTTTCATCGAAATAGAAATTATAAAAAGAAACTTACGACAATTTTTCATAGCGGAACCAACCAAATTTCTGTCCATTAAGCAGAAACATGATGAATCAATTATACAATATTTTAAACATTAATATAAGCTAGCAGATTTTGCGAATTTTAGAAACAGTGAACTCAAGATTTGACTATTGAGGGTGAACTGATTTAATTACAGTTGATTGAAGCTATGGCTGATACATTTAATAGATATAAGATATTGGTACAATTATAATTGAATAATTTGTCTCTAACTGCATGTGTGGAAGTTATACGACTGGAACTGATTGAAAAGTATGATTCTACTGAGGACAATGCTGAAATATACAGTACAAAAAAGAATGCAACAAATGAAAATACTGTAAGTATGAGCATGAAATTGACAGAAAAAAAAGTACCACGGATTTTGAAAAATTTGCTATAACAGCGGAAGAAAAAATATTTTCAGTCTGTACGCAAAATAAAACAAAATAGATATAAAAAAAATCGAAAAAGAAAGAATTGATGATGTCTTTTCAATACTAAGGAAAAGAATCCTTTTGACAAAAAAAAAGTAAATGGCATGACTTTTCCAATGCAAGTGGATACAGGTAGTGACGCCACAGTTATCACAAGAAATTTCTGGGAACTTATGGGTAAACTGAAATTGCGAAAAAATCATCTCAGTTTGAGACGATTCAATGTTTTTTTTATAAAAACTATTGGCTACTTCAATGACACTTTTGAAACATGTGACCGATTTGAAATTATTCTCATAGTGTAATGTAAAATAATTCATGAATTACTAGCTACAAATGTTCTAAATGTAGATAAATCGAAATTAGTCAATACAGTGAAATCAGAAAAAAGTAAAAACGGGAGTATAAAGTAGGCATAGAATTAAATGAAAATAGTGCCCATCCTATTCTAAATCTCGTAAATTACCTATTCACCTTCTATCTTTAGTGGTTGTCAAGTTAGAGAAAATGGTAGTGGAGGGAATTTTGGAGCCTGTTCCTCCAGGTGGCAGTAAATGAGCTTCTCCCATTGAAAAGTGCGAAAAAATAGATGGAGACTTAATTTTATATGGGCTTTTTGAAATAGGCGTACATCATAAAATATTTTCAAATTTGTTTACTATTCCCAATATTGAAACTGCTATCCATAAATTATTCGAAATTAATTTTATTGGATAAATTTGTTTGAAATCTGCCTATAATCAAATGGATAATGCTGATGATAAACTTAATTGGGTACTGAAAAAACAAATAAACGCCAAAATTAAGATGGATAAGAATGCCTTTTGCCATTGGGTTTCAAAATGCCATGTTTCAGAGAGCAATTGAAAACGTGTTTACTGATGAAATTAGTAACATGACTGTGGTAAGTGTTGAAACTTGACTAATGCATGGAATAATAATGTAACACAAAATGTACTTAGAACAAAATGTACTGAAACAAGAAAGTGTACACAATATTTACATATAGTCTTTTGTATATTCCTGGGAAGACCGTTCCTGGAGAATGTGTTGACTGAGTCGCAGTCGGGCAGAGTCTCTGGTTGAATCTCTTGATTCTTCCCCCTCTCTTCCCGGTACCAACCATATTTATATGGTCGGTACTCCACTATGCAAATTAGGTGGATCCTACCACAACAGTAACCTCAAAAGGTAAATGCATTGAAATAATCATTTTTTTAAAGATTGGTAATAAACGATAATACTTAGGAAGAAAGAACAACACATGAAAGATTCGCCATTTTTATCAGGAAGTAGTAGTCAACTGCTGGAAGTGAGTCAAAAAAATTTCCATTAAAATCTCTAACTGTAGACGGCATCTACCAACTGCCCCACAAAGTCAGATATGGCACAAGGCTGAATTTAATGTGGAGCTCCGGAGCCCGTAGTCTCAGCCAAAAATTCCTCGTAGACCCCTTTTCTTTCTTTCATTCTTTCTTACACCCTTTTTCTTTTTTCCCTAGTCTCTTTCAATTTATTTCTCTCGTTTTTAAACTTCTTTCTTTGTCTTTTCCTTTTTTTCTTTCTTATTTGATTTCTTTTTTCTTTCTTTTTCTTTATTTCATTCTTTCTAACATCCTTTTTTCTTCTCTCTTTCCTAATCTCTTTCAATTTATTTCTCTCGTTTTTAAAACAAATTTTTTATGTCTTTTCCTTTTTTATCTTTTCTCATTTAAAAAAAATATTTCATTTTCTTTCTTTTTTACTTCATTCTTTGTTACGTCCTTTTTTCTTTTTCTCTTCTCTCTTTCCTAATCTCTTTCAATTTATTTCTCTCGTTTTGAACTTTTTTTCTTTGATTTTTTGTTTGTTTGTTTTTGTTTTTGTTTTTGCTTTTTTTTTAAGCATTTCACCCCAAGCAATGCAGAGTGCCACTTGCAAATAAAAATTGGCAGAAATTTCAGGGAAAAGAAAGAAGAGGCGTTTTGGGGGAGAGGATAAACAGAAGAACGTGGAGCAAGGTATCAGAAGCAGTCGATTGACATTTCACTTGAATATTTGAAGATTATATTTCTTAGAGAAACAAGTAAGAGGAAGAGAACTCCACAGACGGGAAGTGCGAGAAAGGAAGCTGTTACATTTAACCGTTTCTTCAGTGAAAGGCTGAAACCGAGAAACCAACCTAGTAGCTCGCTTAAATTCATGCAATCTGAGAACCAGAGAAAGCAACTCGTCGGAAATGTTACCGTGAAAATAGTTGTAGAAAAGACAGAGGGAAGCCACGGTACGTCTGTGAGAAAGTGATTGTAGACTAGATGCCAGATCAGGACCTATCACATTGCATATCCGTCTCTGGATTTTGTCAAGGACCTCGAGACTTACATCAGGAGCAACAGACCATATATGACAGCAATATTCCATGCAAGGACGGATGGTTGATTTATAGATTTGAATTATGGATTTAGACAAGAAAAAAATTCTGGCATGACACAGAAAACGAACTTTCCTTACCGAAGATGAAGCTATTGAGTCTATGTATTTGTTCCACCTCATATCAGCGAACAGCGTGAGACCAAGCAGGCGGAACGAGGCGATCTCGTGGAGTTAGGCATCAGCCATTTTGATGGGAGGCAGAGAGGATTCTATGTTGTGGGTAAATGAGAGCAGTTTCGTTTTGGAGGCATTGAAGTTTAAAGCCAGTCAACCATAGATTGAAGGGTCTTTTCATGACCAACGGGCAGGTTACTTTTGTCAGCAATACCAAATTTACTATCGAGTCAGGTGTAAATAATAATGTCGTCCGCGTAGATGCCTACTTGGGAACTGATGACACCTGAAAGGTCGTTAATGAAGATTACGTTATCTTTTCCTTTCTCTCTTTATTATTTGTTTTCTCTTTTCTTTCTTTTTTACTTCATTCTTGCTTACGTACTTTTTTCTTTTTTTCTTCTTTCTTTGCTAAACTCTTTCAATTTATTTCTCTCGTTTTGAAACTTCTTTCTTTGTCTTTTCCTTTTTTCTTTCTTATTTGATTTCTTTTTTCTTTCTTTTTCTTTCTTTTATTCTTTCTTACGTCCTTTTCTCGTCTCTCTTTCCTAGTCTTTTTCAATTTATTTCTCTCGTTTTGAAACTTTTTTCTTTTTCTCTTTCTTATTTGATTTCTTTTTTTCTTTTTCTTTCATTCTTTCTCACGTCCTTTTTTCTTCTCTCTTTCCTAGTCTCTTTCAATTTATTTCTCCCGTTTTGAAGCTTTTTTTCTTTGTTTTTTCCTTTTTCTCTTTCTTATTTGATTTCTTTATTCTTTTTCTTTTTTTTTTACTTCATTCTTCTCTTTCAATTTATTTCTCTTGTTTTGAACCTTTTTTTTTCCTTTCTATCCTCGCCTAATCCATAATTCATTTTTTCTAACATCCTTTGGTCTTTCTTTCATTTTTTTAAAAAATTTACAGCCACTCACTGTCTTTCTATTTCTTCAATATTTTTCTTTCTTTCTTTATCCGTCATTATTTTCTCTCTGCCCCCAAACCTCGATATAAAAATCCCTCAATGTAGCCATAAATCGTTCAGTCTTCCTTTCTTTGATCGATCCCCTTGATCGATACCTCCAGCCAGATTTCTAATAAAAGAAAAATGTCCAACCTATTCCGGTTTCAGTAAAGAATTTGCGGGCGTTCTTATGTCAAGTGTAATAACAGTGATTATTAATTGCTATATTTAAAGAGAGGTCGAAAGGTTCGATCCCACTTGTCGTCGGCCACGTAACCTTGCCTTGAAGCCGACTTTTTAACATATGATGGAACTCTTTTAAAATCTTGCCAATTTGTTTTTGTTTCTCTTTTGAATCTCGATAACCGTCAATCACAGAAGAAGAAAAAAACTGTAAAAATCTGTTTGTTTTCCCTTGACAACAACACCTGATATTTCTGTCAAGTTGCTGTGAATACAGAAGCGATGGGATAACATGGCGAGGGGAAAAAGTATTGGAGAATTAATACAAACAATGAAATTATTTTATAAATAAAAATGTATTAGACTTTAAAGAAGAATAAAAAATACTAAAAGCAGCCATTTTATTTTCTTGATAATAAAGCAGAGCAAAGGATGTTGGGAAGGAATGTTTGTAAGGGAAACGTATTTTTTATATATCTGTTTTTAGTTAAAAGCCGTTTTTTATTTTTATTTTCATTCTTTAATCAATAACATCATCCCTTTTTATTTATTTGAACAGTTTTTCTTTCTTTTTTCTTTTTCTTTCTTTTTTCTTTTTCTTTCTTTTTTCTTTTTTTGCCTTTCTTTTTTTCGTTTATTTTTTCTTTTCTTTGATTTTCTTTTTTCTTTCTTTCTAATTTCTTTTTTTTAATTTTTCTTTGATTTTTATTTTTTTCCTCTTTTTTCATTTCTTTTTAATTTTTTCTTTGATTTCCTTCTTCCTTTAATTCCTTTTTCCTTGATTTTCGTCTTTCTTTTTCATTTCTTTTTTCTTTGATTTTTTTCTTTTTTTCTTTCTTTCGTACTTTTATTTTTATTTATTTCTCTCTCTTTTCTTTCATCTTTTCTTTTGCGCATCTTCTTTTTTTTTTTTTGCTTTCCTTTTCTCTCTTCCAATTTTTAATTTCCCGCTTTTTCATTCCATTTTTCTTCTATTCTTTCTTTTCTATTCTTTTCTTTTCCTTTCTTTCTTTTTTATTCGTTTATTTCTTCGTCTTATTCCTTCTGTAGCCTATCCTGGGTATGACGATAAACTGCATCCGCGTCCTGGGTAAGACGATAAAATACATCCGGCAGCAAGGCATCTGATCAGGAAGTTTTGAGGAGCATGGAACCACCTCTTAATTGCTTGTGTTCCCAGGTCCACCCTGACCCGGGGTGGCAGCACTTGTTACGGTACCGACTATGGGCAAATATTTAACCACCAAACTGGGGTCAAAACACTATGAAAATGTAAAAATAGGTTTTAATACCAGCAATAATTTTTTTTTTGAGGGGGGGGGTTGTTACCAGCAATACATTTTTTAAGAAAATTAATATTAACGGCAATAGATTTTTGAAGAAAAAATATTGACAACAATGCATTTTTGAAGAAAAAATATTACCAGCCATATATTTTTGGAAAAAATATTACTAGCAATAAAAATCTTGTTGGCATCAAATAACCCATTCAGGTTGACATGCCATAAAAGAAAAGAAAACAAAACAAACCTTCTGTGGCTTATTCTTCGTTTTAGTTTCATCTTTTCTCTGTCTTATTCTTCTATCAAATTTTCATCTCTTTAAAAAAAATTTCTTTTGAAAGAAAAAAAACTGAAATAAAATCAGTAAAAATAGAAGCAAATATTGCAACCTTTTAGCAAGTGTGTTTTAGTCTGGCATAAGGCTACAATTCTCAGTGTCTCTCAGTGTGGATCTCGTTACAAATGATTTGAGTGTTAGGTTAGGTTCGTTTTCACACCAGATTTGTTTAACTTATACTATGAAATATTAAGAAAGTTGCCGAATTTATCATTGTTGGATACAAATGGCACAGTAATGTTGGCAAACATTGAAAGTAAACTGCAGTAACTCCTCGACGAGGGTGTAAAGGAAAGCAATGAGAATGGACTGGCTATCAATCGTAATGGAAAGCCAGAAGACAAAGGGAGTTCCACAAGTGAGAAGTGTGAGAAAAGAAGCTATTAGCATAGAACTTATGGTTACATCTAGACAAATCAACTGTAAAATGATGGAGACTTGTCGCCAATCTAGTACTGTGCTTAAATTCATTAAGGCTAAGTACCATAAATTTCATCAGGACAATTACTATGAAAGCATTTTTAGAAAAGACACGGTGAAACTATATAAAGGCGGGTAGAAAGTGACTGAAGCTGAGATGCCAGGTCAGGACTAATAACATTGCAGATTTTTTTCAGATTTTTATTCGAGGTCTTTGAATATATAGAAGGAGAACCAGACCACATGTAGCAGCAAATGGATGATGTTTAGATTATGTATAAAATAAATACTAGTGAAAAACATTGTCTCGAACGATGCAGTGTACCAACTTTGCTAGCAATTGATTCAATATAATCTTTCCACCTTATGTCAGCTGAAAACGTTGGCCCGAGCACGCAAAATGAATCATTCTCCTGGAGGTTAGCATCAGCCATGCGGATAGAAAGTAGGTGAGGTTCTCTCAGACGATTAATCGAGAGCAGTTTCTGTTTTGGAAAATATCCGAAGACGCAAAGATACAATGATAAACAAAAGTTTAGGAACACTTAGCAGTAACATAGTTTTCTATATTTATATATATATATATATATGTATGTATGTGTGTGTGTGTGTGTGTGTGTGTGTGTGTGTGTGTGTGTGTGTGTGTGTACGATAAACTACATCCGCGTCCTGGGTAAGACGATAAACTACATCCAGCAGCAAGGCCCCTGATCAGGAGGTTTTGAGGAGCGTGAAACCATCTCTTAATTGCTGGTGTTCCCAGGTCCACCCTGACCCGGGGTGGTAACCAGTTAAATTATATAAATTTAAGACAAAAAAAAGATGGACCAGAACAATATTGAAATTATAAAAATAGGTTTCAATACCAACATATTTTGGGGGAAAATATTACCTGCAACATATTTGGAAAGAAATTATTCCCAGCAATAAAAATCTTGTCGGCATTAAATAACCCATTGAGTTTGATATGCCGTAAAACAAGCCAAACCAAAACAATAGATAGATAGACAGATAGTGTTAGGGCGCACCCACCTTCTCATCAGAATGGACTGATCTCTCTACTACTAATAGGACAGTTCTATAGAGTTCTGGGAAGATCAGGTGACCATCACACTTCCGTCTCTCTACCGGAAGATACAGTTGGACTTTATACTCTTTCTAATTGTTACTGACTAACCTGCGTTCGTTTGACTACCAATCTCTTTGTTGTAAATACCTCTTTAGATATACCAGTATTTTTCCCTACGTATGTGTTTGTCCTTATTTCAATACACGCACGCGGAAACACTCAACATCTCAACAGATAGATAGATAGATAGATAGATAGATAGATATGAAGGGACCAAGATAGATAGATAGATAGATAGATAGATAGATAGATAGATAGATAGATAGATAGATAAAAAAAATATTACCAGCAATAAAAATCTTGTCGGCATTAAATAACACATTGAGGTTGATATGCCGTAAAACAAAACAAACCAATATATAGGGAGATAGATAATAGATAGATAGATAGATATGAAGAGACCAAGATATATAGATAGATAGATAAAAAAAAATTACCAGCAATAAAAATCTTGTCGGCATTAAATAACACATTGAGGTTGATATACCGTAAAACAAAACAAATCAAACCATAGTTTTATTCATTTTATTTTTCTATCATATGAGATTGCATGAGGTAATAAATTTTTTGTTATTGAATCAGCTATTATTGACACATAAATCTATAGCCAAAAACCTTTGTTGCCATTGCCAAATTAGCAGCCATTGTGGTAGTATTTGTGTAATGAATTCGGCTTAGAATAGAGGAAAAAAATCTTCACTTTCCCCTCAATGAATCATCCAAACAGTGCTTCTATGAGATGACGGTTATTCTGAACGTAAAATTATTGTATAAATACGTTGTAGCAAAACAATTATTGCAACTACTTTACTCTGAGCATACCCTAACGTATCCAATGAGTGATTAATATCAAAAGACGTTATGCCAAACATTTATTACGGGTTTATTTACCTTGAAAGAATAGAGAACGTTGTCATGTACAAATTTGTTATTAAAACTGTTATATTCCGTGCTAACAGAAACACATACTTGAAAAAAAAACAAGATGAATAAACTAAGTAACGGTTTATTGTAAAAAGCAGTACAACAGGAATAAAAGTAGCAGTTATGTACAAAGGTCGTCACAAGTCAGCCCAGTGGTGACTGCTACTATTTGGGAGGTCGGTAGTTCTCGCGTAAGTCTGAGTCGTACTCAAAAGATCTCAGTTTGGCAATATTTATCAGCCTTCCCACGAAGTAGAATGTGGCACAAAGCCGACTTTAATGTGGAGCAATTCGAGCCCGTAGGCTCGGCCAAAAAATCCCCTTAGAACCCGTATAAACGGGTTCGGGTCTGTCTAGCTCACCTCTCTGTCCAAAGGCAGAGAGTTCGAAAATAGCTCAGAGCTGAGTAACAGATCCCAGATAGAATATTTAGCCACCCCCACCCACGAGGGTTTTAATGTGGGTTCTCCGAGTCCGTAGGCTCGGCCAAAAATATTCCCTTTCGAACCCGTATAAACGGGTTCAGTGTCAGTTAACCTGCCCGAACGAGACTCTGCCCTTCGGCGGAACTTCGCCCGAACTTCGCCCGAACTTCGCCCGGGTTCCTCTCTGCCCAAAGGAAGAGAGTTTGACAACAGATCCCAGATAGTATATTTAGCCAGTACACCCACGAGGGTTGCATGTGGCACAAGACCGGTTTAAAGTGGGTTCTCCGACCCCCTAGGCTTGGTCAAAAATATTCCCTTTCGAACCCGTATAAACGTCTTCAGGGTTAGTCAACCTCCCCGAACGAGACTCTGCCCTTCGGCGGAGCCTCGTCCGAATTCCTCTCT